CACATATTAAAGAGGTTGGTAATGCCAGACTGCACAGAAAATTTAAGTATTTCCTGCAAAATTATATTTATTTTGTACTTTTAGTACCAATAATGACAATAAAAAAATACAAAATGAGAGGTTTTACAATTGCTATTTTGACCTCACAAACAGAATAAATTTTCAGCAACCAAATCTTCTGGGTAGTTTGTTCTCTCACCTTTCAGATTGTACTAAAATTTGGTACTTGTTGATTCTCAGTTCGTTGTTTTTTTCAAAGCTTTACTTTGCAACCCATCAGCTAAAATAACGGAAAGGTACATAATATACAAGAGGGGCAAAGTATAAAAAAGAATTATAATTACAGGGAGTCATTTTTGTCTCTGTCCCACTATTGGACTTGAGGCTGATCATATTCGTGCCTTACAAGCAAATGAATTCCTATCAGCTATACTGCAAAGGCTGTATTTATGAAGCCTCAGTGACAACTAGACTACTCGCTACCTGAGATGCAATAAAATGGAGGAACATTTACCTTATTTTCAGTCTGATTTTGTTCACAACCTCATCGATGTTTGCCAAAGACTACAACATGAAAAAAACCAAAGATAAGTGAAATGGGGAACCTCTTACTGCGATACACATCAGCAGTGATACCTAACACTTTCTCACATGTGGCACTTTACAAAGCGGAGAACAATGACTCTGTTTTCCACATGGAGAAACTGAGACACACAGCAACTTAGCTGCTCCTCAGGTCATATAATGAAGAGCAGCAAAAGACAGGGCAGGCCAGGGTGCAGCCCTGCAGGTCCCACAGGCTCCCTGCTTCCCACCCAGCCGTGAGCAAGCAGGGTGCCCTGAGCCCTGCCTTGTCTGCAGAACTGCTCCAGAAACACCGTGGTGACAGTGACCTCCAGTGGGCAACGGGGACAGAGCCTTCGCCTTCCCTGGGCAGAGACCCTCCTGCAGAACCAGCACACACAGCGCATGGGGTGGAGGAGGCCTGGCTGCTGCCGGAGCTGTAGTGGGGGTATTGCAGGGGAAATAGCTCTCCACTACTGGCAAAGGGAAAAAAAGCCAAGCCAGCACCACCAGCAAATTAACTAGAAACAGCTGAAAGCCCAAAAAGCTAGTGCTGCAGGGGATCTTAAACATGGTAAATGTTGGAGCTGCCTCACAACCCAAACTTCAGCTGCAGAAATACCTCCTTTTTGTAATAGATTATTCCAAAACTGCCCCTGGGGCTCATTTGGGGAAGACAAAGTATGGATATGAGCCCATGGCAATCTCATTCTTCAAATCTCAAAAGAAATAATAGGTTTCAAACATGGATGACTCTCCAGTGACATTTCACAGGCAACACCGCCTTATTTAGCTGAAACCCCTGAGGATTCATCAATGATTAATACACAGCAAGTTATGAAATTTACTGCAAGAGAAACCTCTCTATAGAAAACTAATTTATTTCTACAGATCAAAGCAGGACTTTTACTGCAGTGAGTACTTTGGATGGAAAGAAACTACACAATAACAGTGAACCTCATGAGATGCAAATTTAAGAAGTGATTGTTATAGTCTTGCTACCTGTGCTACTGTTTAAAAGAAAAGGCTTGGGTACAGGTTTAAACAAGCCTTCAGTCATTTACTATCAGGTTACCCCTCACGCCATGCTGTGAGCACTACTTACTTGCTCAGTGGGAAAGAGAGTATTAATATACTCCACAGCATTGAAATCTGCTCTGTCCAGTGGATCTTGGCTGGGAAATACCTGAAGAGAGGGAGGAAAACAAATACAATCAACAATACATCACCATTAATTTCTGTAACTTTACAGAGTACCTACTGCTTCTAATTACTCAGCATCCACTTCTGATTACATTTCACAGCACTGTTCTAACAAGCATGCACAGAGAGCAGTCAGCCCTCTGCCCAGGAGTAAAACACCTACATGCTCTGTAGGTCTCTGACCTATTAAAATTCCTGTGGGTATCAGCCTGGGTAAACAGATAATATACACATGTGCTTCCACATACAGCCCCAGTACAATCGATGCTGTGCCAGGAATTCCCCAGACACACGAGCCGTTAATTATGCATCCCAAACCATTCTGATGCTTTTGCCATTGTCTGGAAATGAACCTCCACGCTGAGGCATTGCCCTTCTCTTTGCCTGGGCTTTGCGAGGCCCCATGGTGAGAGATGGAGGATTTGCTTTTCACAGCCATGTACTAGGAAATGAATTTTAAAATGGTTGTACAAGTTCTCTGGAGACTTGGGTTTGCCACTTTCACATGAAAAAGAGGGAGAGAAACAGAATCTGTGAATTATTCTTCCTACCCACAGAAAAGGGAAAAGAGCAGCTGTGGTGCAAACAAATCTCATTTCTCCTTGGAAGTAGCTCAAAAGATGCAAACACAGCTGCCAGGCTTTGCTTTTTGTCCCCACAGACTAAAATATGCTGCTTTCCCTTCTCTGCTACCATATTTGTTCCACATTTATAGAGCTATCAGCTCTGCACTCCATGGTCAAAACCCTGCCTAGCTCACACCCCAGCATCACCTCTGCAGGTCACCCTGGTCACACGCAGCATTTACACCGTTTTACACATTTTGCAGCACGAAAGCAGTGGGTTTGTAAGACCATTTAAAGGAGAGCAACTTCTCCCTGAAATAGGCCTCTTCAGCAGCTTTCCCAAAGCTACTCCTGTGGCCAAGGAGAAGCAGGCAGCAGTTAAATATGCATGAGGCCATGCCCGAGTGAGGAAGATGCTCTGACATTAGCCCACTGCAAAAGCACAGTTGCAGCATCACAACCAGCCTGCCCTGCTCTGGGCTCACAACTGCAGCTTCAATTAATCCCAAATCTCCACAAGCATCAAGAGCAGGTGAAGCAAGGGGCCAGATGGAAGATAAAGGCTAGTCAGGAACTCCACTCTCAAACTGCAGATAGAGATCAATGCTGCAGGCACCTATACCAGCTAAAGAAGTTGCTACTCCTAGGTCTTTGTCACAACCCATTAACCAGAAATGACTACGCCATGTTTGGTGGAGCACCAGTCTTTGTTTGCTCCCTACCCCTCTTCAGGCAGAAGTCAGCTGAGCCAGTTCTGAGCATTTAACCAGGACCTGGCAGGTTTTGCCCAAAGCTGATTAAGGAACACACACAGGAACAAGATTATTGGGTTGGAAAGTGCCAGTGAGGAAGCGACAGTGTCATCCTCAACATCTTCCCTTGCTCAGGATGTGAAGATCTGCCTACAGCCTTATTACCTGTTAAAATAACTCAGCCAGAGATATGGTGGATTGTCCACTGCTCAAAACCTCAAGCCGAGGCTGTCTCTAAAAGACATGTTTTACCTCGAAGAGACATTTTGTGCTTGATGAAAATGTCACTAGGTAACTCTCTTTGGTTGTATAATGTTAGAAATCACAACGGGCTTTTCTGGCTTTTAAACATACAGACTCTGTAAAGTGCAGAGGATTCTTTTTCTGGACAAGTTCCAAGTCTCCTTTAGAAGGTAGCATTTAATTTAGCAGTTCTCAAGGTTTCAGCAAAAACTACTCAATGGTTTACAGCCAGGTGTGCCAACCCCATGCAAAGACAAGAGTATGTGGGATGTCTCTTTCTTTGGAGCAGTAATATTCCAAAGCTGGCACAGCACCCACAGACAAACTGCGCTACCTTCCTCACCTTCTGGCGCCGGGCTCCCTTGAGATGCTGTGCCAGCTACCACGGTTTGCCCTAGTTCATTGAGGAAAGCCACCAAAAGCGATCCGCAAGCCTCAACACTCAAGAAAGTGTGAAAACTTATTTGAGCGATACTTTGAGAGACAGCTGCTGTTGCTGTCCACAGACTTCTACTACAAGAAACAGCTCTTCAGATGGGAGGGTTGGCTGAAGTCAGTGCGAGCACAGTCAGACTCCAACGGACACAAGATTTTACCCCGGGTTCTCACTGACTTTTGCTGGGCTCCAAGTGCCACAAAGTGTTTCAGGGAACGTTGAAGGACTTGAGCTGGAACCTAATATTGATCACCAAAGTCAAGCCAAGACATTTAGATTATCCCACCTTCAACTGAGTCACGGGCCATTTGACTCCATTAAGATGCTTTACATACTGACTAACAATATTCAATTAGAAGACAGAGAACAGGCATGCCCGGCTGCAGAACAGTCAATGCCCCGCGTTCATCAGTGATGGGAAAGCAATTAGATGAGATATGCTCAGCTGAGGCCGACCACAAGGACCACCCCTCGCACTGCGGGGGAAGGTGCCAGCCCCCCAGCACTAACAGGACCCGGGGGACCCGGGTCGGCGCAGCCCCAGGACACCGGCAGAGCCCGTCCCGTCCCCTCCCGGGGGCCAAGGGGCTCTCTCCCCACGCTTGGAGGGGCCGCATCCTCCTCCAAGCACGGCCAGCTTGGAGCTTCCCGGGGCCCAGCAGCGGAAGGCCCGGAGCTCGCTGAGGGAGCCCGCCGGGGCCCTCACACAGCGGACACCGGGCCGCGCCCACACCCGGCCCCTCACCAGAGGGGACCTTGCCCAGCCCCGGGGCCCAGCCAGCCGCCCGGCCTCCCGCCCGGCCCCACGGCAGACCTGCTCGATGGCGGCCTGCACGGCGGGCGCCAGCTCCAGAGCCGCCTCCAGCCCGGCCGCCAGCTCCGGCTCGTCCTCCTCCATGGCGGCCCGCCGCTTCCGGGCCGCGCGGCACGCCGGGATACGAGAGGACACACCCCCTCCCCTTCCCGCTCCACAGCACCGGCCCTTAGGGGCGGGGCCTGGGCCGTGGGGGCGGGCTTCGAGGGGGCGTGGTCTCGCCTCCCGGTGGGGGCGTGGTCTTCTATCCGGGGGGCGGGGTTTGCACCGGGAGGGGGCGGGGCCTGCCGCCCGGCGGTGCGGGGCGCGTCCCGGCGGCGGGGCCGGTTGGGCGGGGCGGGGGCGGAGCCCGGGCCCGGGGCCGGGGCCGGGGGGGGG